AATAGGGCATTATGTAAAATTGAGGATGTGTAACCGACGTGATTTTGTAATCTGCATTTGGGGTAAAAATTGGGAGTTCATAACCCACTTCAATCTAATGTATGAAATATGATATGTCATGAGCTTTGTAATGTTGTGAACAACCAATAAAATAAATAAATAAATAAATAAAAATTTAAAAAAATAATAAAATAAAAAGGGCTGGAGATGTGGCTCAGTGGTTGAATGCCCTTGAGTGACCAAAAAAAAAAAAAAGAAAGAAAGAAATTACACATCACTATTATAGCTACTATAGACATCCATTCTGTCTTTCCTACTACATATACTCCAAGATTTCCACAAATATAACATTTTTATAATCTGGTGGGGGAGGGGGAATCAACATCACAAAAATAATTGAAATTTGCTGAGATGCTAGTATTTTAGGAATTTTGTTACATAACTAGAGTCAAAAGAAACGTCTAAATTTTCCATAACAAATAGCCCTAGAAATCAGCTCAAATGAAAAATTCACATGGAACAAAGAATACAGCAAGAAAAGGGTCACATTTTTTTAAGCATTTTATAAGTTAAGTGATCTTGGTGCTGGGGTCTTGTTCAGTGGTTGAGCTCCCCCCATCATGTAAGAGGTCCTGGGTTCCATCCCTAGCATCATGGGGGGAAAAAACTAGTTCATCATTATAAACACTTTTTCTGCACATTTTTAAAATATATATTTTAGTTGTGAATGAACCTTTATTTTTATTTATCTATATGCAGTGTTGGGAATCAAACCTCACACATGCTAGGCAAGCGCTCTACCACTGAGCCACAACCCCAGCCCCTACACATTGGTTTGGAAGAGAGTGGTATATTAATGAACCACTACATTCAAGTGGTATCTCACTCTAGGAAGAGAATATTTCCATTTTCTAATAAGACCATGGGAAAGACTTGTAATCTTTTAACAACTCTAAGTACTAAAAAAAGAAAACCCACCAATGGGAGCCAAAGAAAACACATTTTCTTATCTTACAGAGATAATAAAAATACCTAAATATTACAGGAGGCCTTCCGTTCTTGTGTTTCACAAAGATACCTTCAAGACATGCTCCAATGGCTATGTCACTCCCTTGGCTGTCCTAAAAGGGGAGAACAGAGAAAAACTCAGGAATCAGAAAAATAAGATTGCAACAACTACACTCAGTTCCCTAAACTTGTTTCCCAGATATAAAATGTTCTGAAAATCTACAAAATAATTCTTCAGAAGGAAAACAATCTAAATATTAAAATTTAAATATTATAAATATTATTTCCTATAAATACATATGAACACTGAAAGAATTTGTACTCTTTTTTTCCCCCAATATTCAGCATTTTTTTAAAAGAGAGAGAGAGAGAGAGAGATTTTTTTTTTAATATTTATTCTTTTTTTTTTAGTTTTCGGCGGACACAACATCTTTGTATGTGGTGCTGAGGATCGAACCCAGGCCGCACGCATGCCAGGCAAGCCTGCTACCGCTTGAGCCACATCCCCAGCCCCAATATTCAGCATTAAACTAAATATTTATTTCCTTTTTTGGCATCTACAACGTTAGCTGGCAATATAAACAGAAATGGTATAGAAGTGCCAACAGTAGAGATATTATGTTTACAAAAGGGTTTGCTATTTCAAAAAGGTGAAGAGAATGCAGAGATGTAGGATGTAATAATTAAGAGAGAGGATAAGACAGAGTAGTAGTAAAGAGTAAAAGGAAGAGTGAAAGAGAGAACAGTAGAATTTGACTATTAGGGAAAGAAAAGAGAAGTAGATAATCAAGGGAATTAGGAGAAAAATAATATAAAACAAAACAAAAAATAAAACCAAGGTATACTAATCAAAAACTCTAGTCCTTAAAAAAGAGTCAAGAAAATAGCTACCTTCAAGAAATGCTAGAAATGAGAAGATTGAGACAAATATATATATGTACAAATGTCCATGGGCTGTTCAGCATACAAAAATTAAAAACCAAAAAGAAAAAAAAAGGTTATTGATGGGATATTTCCTGCTTTTTAAAATGCCTGTTAACTTTTGATTGGATGTTGAACATGTTGAATTTTACTGGATTCTGCTGTATTCCTTACAAGAGTGTTGGATTTTGTTCTCAGATCTTCTGAGGCTTGTTGTAAGCTTTGTTATGGAAAGCCAAGAGCAGTTTTACTAAAGGATTAATTACCTACACTATTGAGATAGGACTCTCTGATGCCTTTTATATTAGATCTTCCATTCTGTGGAATTTTCTACATCTCCCAGAACTTAAGGAATTCTAAGAAGTTCTTTTGGTGATTCTTTTCCAGGCCTAATTGTGTTTTATTCCATGTATGGGTAGACAGAACTCAGCCAAAGCCTCTTGAAGGCCCCTGTAAAAATCTCCAGAGTTCTTTGTGGAGCTCCCTCTTTTCAGAACTCCATCCTGCAAATTTCTGGAACTCTGGCCTCATTTGTATTCTGCTATCTTTCTCTTCAACTCAGCAAGACTCTCAGTTTGAGTATCCCTCTCTGTACTATAGTCTGAAAACTGCCTCTAGGCTGGGGAAATTGTAGAGCTAGCTTCATTTGTATCTTTTTCTTTCAGAGATCTCCTGTTGCTTCAAGTACAAGGTCTGAAAATAATTATTTCATACATTTTGTGAAATTTTCTATATGTTTTTGGAGAGAGGCAACTCCTATAGCAGTTGGTCTTTCACAAAAGCCTGATTTATTCTTTTTTAATTCCTGCATAGTATTCTACAGTTTATTTCATCTTTTTTCAATGATTTACTCTGTCAAGGATCAGCCAGAAGACAGGACAGTAATTTGAAAAGGAAATGTTTAATAAAACACACAGTAATTTGAACAGGGATGTTTAATAAAAAGAAATATGAACTAGAAGTAAGAGATTAACTATGGAAGGGATAGAAAGCAGTACTTATTACAAGAATAGCATAGAGAGAGCAGCTGCTATCTCTAGTGTACAGTACCCATCTAAGAAATAAATTTGGAAGAGTCTCCTCCCTTCTGGAGCTGGGATCCAAAATTTGAGAAGTCATGGTGGCCATGACCAATGAAATGGTAGAGAGGTCCAATGAGCTGCTGTAAGCCAAACCTAGCAAGGAGGGAACTACTCACTTTTTGAGGTGATGGTGGAATTTTCAGGAAGGAAAATTCCTGAGAATTCATTGAGAAACTGGGGATGTGCCAGAAGAATGTACCAGGAAGCTGCCCTGGGGTGAGCTGTGAAACTCACTGGCAAACTGTTTCAGGGATGTGGAAGCTGTTCACAGACGGCCATGACACGCGTTGGGGATGAGAATCACTATATGTACCCACAAATGCCACTGTCAGCCACACAGTTGAACCAAGAAGAAAACAAGCATGCTAGATTCTAGGAAGAGAAAGCCCTGTCTCCTTCAACATCTTCCCTAGGACCCTCTACTGACAAAACTTCAAATCATGTCCACTTATCAAAACAGAATTGCTTATAGAGTCCAGCTCCATTATGGCAGAGCAAGCAGAAAATGGTGGATTTGGATCGAAAGGCAATACATTAATAACTAATATCATATGCATCTCCATTTTTCCAATTTTTTCTATAATTATTAAAAGCAAAATTTCTTAGTTGAATTTCTCTTAACATTTTCATTTTTTCCTTAGCAAAGAAGCAACACAATAATAAAGAAAAAAAGTCTTTAAGTTTCTTTTTCTTTTTGTGGGGCAAGGGGCGTGTACTGGGGATTGAACTCAGAGTCACTGAACCTCTGAGCCACATCCCCAGCCCTATTTTGTATTTTATTTAAAAACAGGGTCTCACTGAGTTGCTTAGCACCTCACTGTTCCTAAGGGTGGCTTTGAACTCATGATCCTCCTGCCTCAGCCTCCTGAGCTGCAGGGATTTCAGGTGTGTGCCATACTGCCTGGCTAGGAAACTGTAAGTTTCTTAAAACTTAAAAAACTCAAAGTACAAGCTGCAAAATGGGACTGTTTTCTCACAAAATTTTGTTCACAAGGGCCTTAGCTTTTAAAGTTTCCAACCTTTGGTACATCAGGACATCCTCAAGCTTCCTCACTGTTTTCTCATATTGCTAAGCCTAATTTTAGAGAGCCCCAGACATCATGCCACACTGACCTTGGCAGGGTAGCTCTCTTCTCCATAGCCATCCATTCTCTCTACCTCCTGCATGTACAGCATTTCAGCATCAGGAGCCGTGAGCCCTCTGCAACCCAAAAGATGTTAGTAAGATTGTTCACAAAATTTAAAAAAGTTAAATAACATTATTCTTAAAAATTACACATCAGTTTGGTATAAGACATTATAAATATTTCAAGCTTTTAAGCATCTGTAATTGGTTACATAGCTCTTTTTCAATATTTACCAAAAATTGGTGCCTGCAAAGCACTACGCTAAACGCTGAGAGTGAGTTACACAAGATCCTATTCCTTATATTGTAGGAAGGCAAGAAATGAAACAGCCCCTAAAACATTTTCAAGTGAAAGCTATTTTTTTTTTCCTAAACCAACAAGTAAGTGCTTAATTCCCAAACTTGTCAGGCATTACTAAGAATCATTTATCATTTGGCAGTTAGTACATTACTAAAAATCATGTACTGACTGCCAAATGATAAATGGAAGGAAGAAGGGCATGAGGAAGTAGGTGGAAATCTCTTTCCGCTCAGGTGACTGGGGTCTACGAGGATGGCAAGCGGTGTGGGAAGGAGCAGGCTCAAATGCATGGAGACTCTCCTCTCCAGGTTCATCTACTGCTCCCCAACACACCTCACACTGCAGCCATTCCAACTCTGCATTTCTTTGAATGCACCATGTTCCGTCATATCTATGGACTTCTATACATGTTAATCCCCCTTTCTGGTATATCTGTCACCCACAAGTGAATGTGGCCAACTCCTAATATCTTTCACTCCTCAGTGCATGTATCACTCCCTGTCTGTCACCTTCTGGAACTCCCCAATGCCCACCCTTGCCCTGTGCAGTCCCAATATATTCTGCCCACAACCCTCCCACTGCATCCATTATTTTATTATATGACTATAATTACTGTTTTACTATAATTACCATTACAATGGGTTTTCCTGCCCTTCCCTTAAATTGTCAGGCTGGAATGCACTATTGGGAGACAGGAAATTATTCTATTTATCTTTCAGCCACAACATCCAATACTGTGCCTCATACAGAGTAAGAATACTAATGAGCTCCTAAACACTGTCTTTTAAGGAAATACACAAGCGAGTGAATTAAAGTGACAAAAGGCAGGGCAATGTGTGCCTGAGGGATCAATTAAGCAAGGAAAGAAATGGTTGGTTTGAACAGCAGAAGGTAAAGTTGAAAAAGTGTAGGATTTAGCCATCTTATGAGAGCAAGGGAGTACCATGAGCACTGGGAGGGGGTGGGGAGAGATAGGAGGGCAGTGTTATTATAGGAAGACTAATCTTTTGTGAGAGATAGAAGTAGAGAGAGTAGAGGTAAAATGTTATTTTATTTGGAAAGGAATAAACAATTATTAATAAACAATAAAAAAATAAGCTATAAGCAGAACTCTACCATATGTAGAGTCCTAACTCATTTTGAAACATAGATAGCAAAGAATTTATTGAATATAAAGTACCAGGAAGTATGTGGTATTTGCCTTAAAATAAGAGCCAGCATTCTCTAGAAGAGGGTTTTCCATATAGGCAACATAGAGATTCACCATCCAAGAAATTCAGTATCCACTAGCACAGAGGTACAAAGAGGCATAGTCAGGCAATAAGGCCCAGGGCGCTCATGGGGGCTCCCCAGAGGACAAAAATACTGCAGGAGAAAGTCTGCAGGAGAAAACTTGAAATACTACTCCCAAAATACTACTACCAAGGCAAATAACTTCATACTTGTTGAATCAAAAAGCAAACAAATCCCCCTAATCTTGCACTAACATATACAGGCTTAGGTTACCAACCTTTTTTAATGTATGGAATGACAAATTGGCACCCTTCAAATGACTGGCTGCTTTCATCTACCTCAGTTTCCTCAATGGTTTAAAGCATGAATAATAAATAATAAATTCAAATGGGAAAGCACCTGGCACATATATTATTATGTAAAAGTTGATTACTTATAATAGCACCAATAGCAGGAAAAGTTCCAAATTGAATGTATCAATGCAAATTTTCAAATTTAAACAGGCACTAATTCCGCACAATTTCCTATCTTATTTATTAGTTTTACCTGTATTTTTGATGTAGTAAGGCCACTTTTTGGGTTGCTTCTTCCAATACTTTTTCATCTTGTAACCATCCCTGAAGAAAACACACAGCTGTTAAATATGTAAATTTCTTCGGAAAAATCATTGCTACTATCATTGACTCTTTTCACTTCAGGCAAACTGTGACTGGTATTAATATTTGAAAGCTGTGCTATGTATATAATCACAATCTTTCTAAGGAATTAAATGGCTTCTGCACAAGAGCCAAAAAAACTTGCCCTGCCTTCTCAGTTCAGACCAGAGAAAGTTTTAGCTGAATTATTTCAGCAAGGTAACATCAGGCAGCCAGTTCTGAGTCCAGTGCAAAAACTACATTCTGTGGTTGGCTGTGCAGACACTCAGAAGAAGGACACACCCCCTCCCTTAATTGTTCCAATAATAGTTTTCATGTCACTTCCATTAGAAGTGACATTTCAACATTAACTTTATAAGGTTTCAAGTCTTCAGTGAGAAGCAAAACCTCTGCATGGTTCTCAAAAACTGAAAACAAAACTCCTTAGACTCACATCCAAATACAAAACACATTTTTCAGGGCACAGTGCACTGACTACAGCCCTTTCCGGTTCTGTGAGTTTACAAGGACCAAGAAGACTCCAATAGGAAAAGGAATGACACCTTGAAAGATGCTGATTTTTGATGCTACTCCTGCCTCATAAGTCTACCTAATGGACTTAATTTCAGGGATTATTAAGGGTATAGAATAAACTGTTTATATAAAGGCCCAGGGCCAAAAGAAGTCTTACCACAGGAAACAAGGCAAATTTTTGAAGAAAGTCCTGGGATTCATACTGATCAAAATCACCAAAATCAGCTATAAAAAGTGACAAAAAATTCACATGTTGATAAAGTTAATTTGTATAGCAAAACATGCACAAGAAAATACAACATGCAGTATACAAATAAATGGTGTAATTATGATCCAGAAGTCGTATTTGTCTGATAGCTATAATAAGAGTGTGTTTTTACAGTATCTTTTTAAAATATTCATTAGATGGATTCATGTGTCTCGACTTGGAAAATGCCTGTGCATTAAGAAAAAAAGTTAGAAACTACATATAATTTGCTCTGATTTTCATAACTAAAAACCAAACAAAACCTTCCCTGTAATGGCATATGCTTTCCTCTGCCCAGAAAAGTGTCAGGAAGAAACCAAACTGGAGAATGGAATTAGATCACCTAATCATCTATATGTTATAGCAACATGTATTAGTTTTAAAATTTTAAATCATTTAAAAAACAGAGAGCCAGGGCCAGAGTTGTGGCCCAGTGGAAGAGTGCTTACCTCGCACTTGTGAGACACTGAGTTTGATCCTCAGCACCACATAAAAATAAACAAAATAAAAATATTGTGTCCATCTATAACTAAAAAATAAATAAATAAAAAACTGAGAGCCAGGCACAGTAGCACACCCCCTATAACTCCAGCGGCTCAGGAGGTTGAGGCAGGAAGATGGTGAATTCAAAGCCAGCCTCAGCAACTCAGCAAGGCCCTACGCAACTCAACAAGATTCTGTCTCTAAATAAAATATAAAAAAAGAGCTGGAGGTATGGCTCAGTGGTAAAGCATGGTTGGGTTTCAATCCCTGGTACACGTCCCCACGCACACAAAAAAACAAAAACAAAAAAACCCCTGAGAGTTCAGCAAAAACTTTATGAAAAAGTACTTTATTTTTATTTTTATTTTATTTTTATTTTTTGTGGTGCTGAAGATAAAAACCAAGGCCTCATGCATGCTAGGCAAGCTCTTCTAACAGTTACATCCGCAGCCCAAATATAATTTTATTTTTTGTTTTTTATTGGTTGTTCAAAACATTACAAAGCTCTTGACATATGTTTCATACATTAGATTCAAGTTGGTTATGAACTCCCATTTTTACCCCAAATACAGATTGCAGAATCACATCTGTTACACATCCACATTTTTACATAATGCCCTATTAGTATAATTTTAATTTTTTAAGTATAAGGGATTGAACCCAAGGACACTTAGCCTCTGAGACACATTCCCAGTGTTTAGTTTTTTTTTGTTTTTGTTTTTTTGTTATGTATATAATCACATATATCACATTGGGGTTTTTTGGTGGGGGTGGGGCAGAGTTGTCTTTAATTTTGACACAGGGTCTCATTAAGTTGCTTAGAGACTCAATAAGTTGCTGAGACTGGCTTTGAACTTGCGATCCCCCTGCCTCAGCCTCTCAAGCTGCTGGGATTACAGGAATGCACCCCTGCACCGGGCTTCCAAAAGTAATTCTTAAAGTCAAGATGATACTTAAAATTCAAAGTAGTTTGAAAAGGAACATGGCTCCATGTGTATCTAGCAAGTGTCTATCTAAAGATGACAAGTCTCCATGTCTAGTAATATCTGGAGAAATTTTACTGATTCTTTTAATTTTCAGTTCTCCAAGGTAAAATGCCAGTTATCATTTGAAATAACACCCTTTCAGAAATATTGCCATAGTATATACATACATGTAAATGCACATATATTAAACATGTGGAAAATGAAAAAAATTTTAAAATGCTCGTGAAAATCATTTCTATTGTGGCTGATGATGCTCCATAATTTTGTCAATTACTTAAGAAACCAAACAATTGAATATACTTAAAGTAGAAGTGACTATAATCTCATCGACCCATTGCATGATAGATTTACTTCCTAAACTGCTAGCTAGTAGCCAATCAAGTGCTAGAACTAGATTGATACATAGCACATTAAATGCTCTGGACATATATATGTGTCTCAATTTATTAAACGTTTTGCTTTCTTGACATATAACTTGGTTAACTTTCCAGAAGTCTCATATTTTATTGAAGTAATTCAAATTAATTTGTTTCTATAAAGAAGCCCTTAGAGAATAATATATTACTATTTATAGTTAACATGCAAACACTATAAAAGATGTATACATTCAAATGTATGTCAAGATCATTGTACTGTCAGGTGTAACTAATAAAAATAAATAAATAAATAAAAATAAAAGATGTATACAGAAAGTCAAGTTACTTTAAGAATCCCTTGCTATTTTGTTATAACACATTTTAATCTGATTGAACTACCACATTATTATTAGTTTAATCATTTCATATGCATTATTTACCTTGAACGGCTAAACCTGCTAGCTGAATCGCTTGTTCCAACGTACAAGGAATGTTTCCCTCCAAGATATCTTTCTTCAGCTGCAAGTAATACTGATACCTAGAAAATGTCAATTTTATAAAGTGAATGTCAATTTATCTCCAATCAATGCTTTTTACCATAATTTGGTAGAGGAGCATAAATCAGTCAAATAAAACCTTAACCCCAGATGGTTTTAAAGAATAACAATGTCCTTGACATATTTACACACATATAAAAATCTAATGAGATATTTGTCCCTAACTATAGTTATTTCAAAGCTAAAGTATTTATAAGACAACAGGTCATTTTCTTATGCCTTGTAAGATAGTCCCTACAATTTGTTCTTTCGTTGTTGTTGTTTTTGTAGATGGACACAATATATGTGGCGCTCTTGGAATGAACCCAGTGTCTCACACTTGCAAGGCAAGTACACCATCACTGACCCACAACCCCTACAATTTATTAATCAATTGCAGGTCTTTTTTTGGTACCAGGGATTGAACCCAGGGGTACTTAACCACTAAGTCATATCCCCAGGGTCTAGCTAAGTTGCTTAGGACCTTGCTAAAATGCTGAGACTGGTTGTGAACTTGAGATCCTCTTGCCTTGGCCTCCCAAGCCACTGAAATTATAGATGTGTACCACCACGCCCAGCAAAATGGCATGTCTTTAAAAACTCACAGTAACTCGAAAATATAAGGATTCAGTCAGTTTGGCAGAAGTTCCCCAAGCCTAGAAAGTAAAGACTGAGAAAACTAACTTCTGATATTAATTTTTTAATAAAATCCCAGAATATCTACTGAAATACTTTAATATTCTGTAATGTGTGACTTTTAAGATATAGAGCACCAGTTACCAGCACAAGCTTTAGAGTCAGGCAGACCTAGGTTAAATTCCAGCTCTCTAATTAAGGATTCTGCAAGAATTTGGGCAGGTCATAATCTGTAGATTTAAATTTTATTTACTTATTTATTTTGGTACTGGGGCTTGAACTCAGGGGTGCTCTAACACTTAGCTACATTCCCAGCCCTTTTTATTTTTTGAGATAGTGTCTCACAAAGTTGCTGAAGCTGCCCTCAAATTTTCAATTCTCCTGCCTCGGTCTCCTGAGTCACTGGAATTACAGGCATGTGCCACGATGCCTGGCTTTTAGATTTAAATTTTATTACCGGTAAAATGGTACCATTGCCCCTTCACACGGATGAATATATTCAAATAACATATATGAAGGTCTGAACACAAGAAAAGGAACATAGCTGAGACTTCAAGAGTCTCTCACTTTAAGTTGTGCACTTTAAGTCAGGAAGCAATACTTGATTCTCTACCACTTCTCCATTCCAATAAAACTCTAGAGTAAAGATGTATTACTTTTATTTGTTCACTGAACAGGTAATTACTAGGCCTACTGTGTGTTCAAAACGCCAGAAATACAGTGTTGAGTGATGATCCACCAACTCTACCAGTGTAGTCCTTAGAGAACCCTAATCCAGAATCTCCCCAGGTTGGCTGGCTGTGAAGCACAGTCGAGGTGCAATTCCTGCTGGAAGTCCCCAGAGAGCCCACCCCTTTAATTGCTTCATATGCAGTCTTATATCATCCTTTTTTATTTTAGCAAGGTTTAAAGTTTCTGTTCTTTGTTCTTTTTTTCAAAAGAGTTTGTAATGTTTTTTTTTCTTTAATACCTTTATTCCATTCATTTATTTTTTTGTGGTGCTGAGGATTGAACCCAGGACCTTGCGCATGCTAGGCAAGTGCTCTACCGCTGAGCCCCAGTCCCTGAAGTTTCTGTTCTTTGTTACAAAAGAACTTAACCAAAACACCTTCAATTCAAATAGGAAGACTTTAGATCCAACTTTCCCACTTCTACCTGCTAGTAGCAGAACTCACCAACTTCCCTCAATCAGCAAATATAATATAGGTAGCTCTGGGATCCTTTCAAAGAGGAAAACTTGAACCTTTGTATAAAACAGCTGATTTCAAAAGCCCATATGAGTGAGACTGTATTTAGGAAAGTCTATCTATTGGACATATTGTCCACAGATTCCACTTTAAAATTCTAGGATTTAGTCTTCTACAGAAATTTTCTTAACCTTAATGTTATACATATATTGCTATTTATAAGAACTGATTCTTCACATATGCTCTAAATTGTTCATTGCTGTTCAATGCCTTTTACATAAACTCTCCCTTGAAAATTTAGATGATATACCAGGAAAAACTGTCACCCTTGCAAACACGTATGCTCCGAACTGTGAGCCAAAATAAATCTCTTTGTTAAAACATACCCAGGCTGTGGAAAGTAGCAGAAAAAGGACTAATACAGTGACCAATGAGGTTGTTTTTATGAATTCATAAATTTTTAAGTGTATCAATTGTATTTCAATCTACGGGCTCAATATTCATTATGATGCCCAAAATTTCCTATCTTTCCTAAATAAAAAGTTCCTTCAAGTAAGTTCCTGAGTCTTTTTACATCAATGGTCTTGACTTCCCATGGTCTCAGGGTTACCTACACAGGGATTTCACCATCTTCCCTTATAATTCCAATTTCTATCATGGAAAATGGTATTAAAGTCCAAAATCTTGTGCCAGGATGTTCATGGTATATATTTGTTATTGCTACCAAGCCTTTTCATGGCCCAGTGCACCAGTCTTTATATTAGAGCTTGTTTATTCATTAATTAGTTTTCTGAAGCTGGGTTCTAAAATACTTTCTTTATTTTTTTTTAGAGTAGATATTCATAATTTAATTTTCTTATTATGTACCTTTTTGGAAATGGAGAAAAAGAGATAAAACAAGTTAATAAACAAGTTAATAAAATAGTAACATTTGAGAAATATTTCCTAGGGATTCTTTGCACTGCTGTTATAAATCTTCTATAAATCTGAAACTGTCAAAAAAGAATATTTCTGAAAGAAAAATATTTCTTTAAAATATTAACAAGTAACAACATACTCAATAAAATAAACCGTGAATCTTTATAGGTATAATTAAATTAAAAAATTAGTGGTGGATGATTACAAAGATATTTATAGTCTCAAACTCTCTCCCTACAAAAAATTTAATTACAAAGTAAAATACTGCAAATACCACCTTAATAACCAATATTAACAGAAGCAGTAGTGAGGATATTATATGTAACATTATGTGACTCAAAGAGAAAATCAGAGAATTGATTCTATGATACTCTTGCCAAAAAAAAATAAAAAATAAAAATCTAGTTCCAATCATAAAGAAACCAGAAAATCCATCTTAAGCACATTCTACATGCTTTCTCCCTGAAAAGATTCAAAGGTAAAGAAGAGGGCTGGGGATGTGGATCAAGCGGTAGCGCGCTCGCCTGGTATGCGTGCGGCCCGGGTTCGATCCTCAGCACCACATACCAACAAAGATGTTGTGTCCGCCGAGAACTAAAAAATAATAAATATTAAAAAAAAACAAAGGTAAAGAAGAGACTAAGAACTATTTGAATCTGAAGGCATCTATAAAATACAACAATTAATTTCATTTCATGGCTCTGAATGAAATATTTTGCTATAAAGGACAATATCATGCTACTAGCAATGAATGAAAATAATTTGAGGATTAAGTGGTTGAATGCATTATTATAGAATATATTATTATTGATTTGAGAAAAAGCAATTGCTTAATGTTTTTTGCCTTTTCTCTTCATACAATCTTGAAATATATTAGTAAAGTTGCACATTTTAATTTAAAGTACTTTTGTCCACTGAAGCATTTTAAAGTGAATTGCTGACATATGACATCATCCATGATATATTTAGTTTTTACTACAATCAGAACATGCTAGATAACTACAATACAACCTTATTATAAAACTTATATGATTAACAAGTATTCTGTTACTTGGTAATATCTGAAAAATCATTGATAATGAATGAAGGTTGTATTGTAGTTATCTAGCATGTTCTGACCTGTAGAAAATACTAAAAATATCATAAATGACAGCATATGTCAGCAATTCACTTTAAAATTATTCAGTGAACAAAAGTACTTTATATTAGAATCTGAAACTTCACTATTATTTTCCAAGATTGTATAAACAAAGAGAAAATGAAAAAAAAACTATTAAGCAAATACTGATTTTATTAGAAACAAGTCTTAAGTCAATGCTTTAAATTAAAATTATAAAAATTAAAAGGCTCTATGTTTGATGGCAGTATAATAATTCTAATACATTAACCCATTAGTGAATTTAGTAAATGGAATACCAAACTAATGTTACCTAAATCTCTGGATCCATATTCAGGGATACATTTTTTAAAATACATATAATCTATCATTAATGTAATATTTAGATTCACCAAATTAGTGTTGACCATTTGCTTGTTGAATGAAGTTTAAATGTTAGCATTTAGACAGTTTGAAAACATCTCAGTAAAAACTGGTTTGCACATGCACTTCAAATTTTCTTACAGATGTATATAAAGCTTCATATTTTGAGAATTTCATAATATATATGATACACACATCCTTTTCAATAAAGTTTTTACATCATACATTTCATCAAACAATACAAATATTATATCAACAGTCTGAAAAACACAATATTATTCTTCTTATGCTTTTTCTTAATATCTCTGTATATCCTCACGTTTTTTTTCAAAAGTGGAACTTGTCTTGGCTTATTAGTAATTGTTCAGGCAGAAGCTCCCATAGTCAAGATTCAAATTCATTTTCTGGATTTCAGGATGCTTAGTGTTCCCCTTATATTTTTTTTCAGCTCCAGTGTAGCACAGAAACCTCTCATGCTGCCTCCTCCACCGCCACTACTGCCAACGAGGTGAGATCTCGCCTACAATACTTTCTTTAGAGAAAGCACACAGAAACAATACTCCCAAATTCCTGCCTGTTCTCAACTGTCTGCTACAGACGTTCCCCCTAATCACCACCATATGTTTGAGGACTAACCCACCATGTGATGACATTTGGAGATGAGGTCTTTGGTAGATAATTAAGTTTAGATGAAGTGTGAGGGTAGGCCCCCTCATGATGAAATTAGAACACAAGAATTTGCTCCTTCTGCCATGTGAGAACCTTCTGCAAGCTAGGACGCAAGCTCTCATCAGAACCCAACTACACCCAGACCTCCAGACTGGAAAATACACTTCTGTTGTTTAAGTCACGTTGTCTGTTATTTTGTTATGGCAGCCTGAGTGGACTGAAACATATTTGCTGGATATATAATCACTGCCTCATATTTTCTTTCCTTGAATATTGTTAAATGTTACTTTCACCAAGTTGCTAAGGGCCTTTGCTAAGTTGCTGAGGCTGACTGTGAACTTGTGATTCTCCTGCCTCAGCCTTCAGAGTTGCTAGGATTGTAGGCATGCACCAACACACCCAGCTAAATGTCACTTTCATCTATTGTCATTAAGTATTCTTCTAAACATCTGATACTACCTTATTAATTTTATAAATAACAAAAGTTTCTGCATATTCAGTTTCCACTGATTTTGCAGAATATGTCTTGGTACTGAATACTCTGGGTTGACAGTTTCAAGGTACATACTGTGTCCTTTTAACTTTTCTTTTTTTTTCCAAAAAAAGTTTTCTTGGGCTGGGGATGTGGCTCAAGCGGTAGCGCACTCGCTTGGCATGCACGCCGCGCTGGGTTTGATCCTCAGCACCACATACAAGTAAAATAAAGATGTTGAGTCCACCAAAAACTAAAAAAAAAAAAAAAGTTTTCTTACTATAGCTTGCTGTATTTTCCTGTTTACCTGTTGCATTTTTCTCAAATAATTACAATTCAGATTTAACTGGTTCTTTCATATCATTGTTATCTTCTGAATTTTTTTTGTTCATTTTGTAATATCAGATGGCAATTTTATGCTCCTTTGTGGCCCCACTTTCCTGACTCAGCCTTCATTTTCTGTAGATATGTTAAGATTTTCATCCTCCCCTTTTTTTCTTCAAGTATCTTTAAATGGAATTGTTTAACATCTTGAGGTGTAATTAGCACACAATAAACTGCTCAAATTTAAACTTTACATTTTCTGACATATGAACATACTCATGAAACCATCACCATAAGATATGAATCATCTCTGTTTGTACACAAAGTATGTTGACACCCAATTCAAGTCTTCATACATGTACTTTGTATAATGATGTCCATCACATTCCACCATCCTTACTAACAGAGATATGAAAAATTGTGGTATATATGTGTATTAAGAATTGTAATGCAAAAGATCAAAGTACATGTATATAAAGGCATAAATTGGCGTAACATACCTTATATACAGAGATAAGAAAAATTGTGCCCTATATATGTAATAAGAATTATAATGTATTCCACTTCTGTCGTGTATTTATAAAATTAAAAAAAAAAAAGATACGAATCATCTATGAAAGTCTCTGCTCCTCTGGCCCTTTCTCCTTCTCCTTCCCCACTGCTCTACTTTGTAACTCTACAGATGTTGGAACTTCTCCAGGATGTAACCAAGTAGATGGAAAGAAGATGCTGAGGACGGTGGAACAGTGAGAAAGAGCAAGGGTCCCTGACTTTGTGGAGATGCTGACAGCTCTGCATGGCTGACCTCAGAACCTCTTTTCAAGAATACCTTGGCTTTTGTTGGCTGTGGCCATACTTAACTCTTTTCTATTTTTTCTTTTTGTGATACTAGGGATTGAATCCAGGCCTCAGACCATTCTAGGCAAGTAGTCTACCACTGAGTTACATCCCCAGCCATATTTTGGGGGGCTGAGAGGAGTAAGTGGGGATTAAATCCAGGGGTGCTTAACCACTGAGCCACATCCCCAGCCCTTTTTGTGACAGGGTCTCACTAAGTTGCTTCAGGTCTCGCTATGTTGCTGAGGTGGGCCTCAAACTTATGATCCTCCTGCCTCAGCCTCCCAAGTAGCTGGAATTATAGGTGTGTGCTTCTGCACCCCAATTTATGGCAACATTTAATTCTTACTGATAGAACTTCCCTAAGTTTTCCTACATCTAAATCAATGAGCAATCCTACTGATAATCTAACAGGCCCATTCCCTTTCTACCCTTCCTTTGGCAAATGCCTTTGTTTAGGTTTATGTTCTAGACTAAATCCCAGATTACAGCACAGACATTCCTAACTAGTCCCCTATTGCCTATAATTTTTGAGGTCTTGCCACTTCTACATTACTTTACATTATAGGTGAATTTAGTAAAAATGTACATTTGGTCCTGGCATTCCATTAAAATTTGAACAAGACTTCCTCATTGTAACATGCTTTTTTGACTAGTTACATGCCTATTTTTCAAACCTTCTCTCTCCTCTCCAGGTAATATGTGAAATTTTCACCACCAGCCATTGTTGTTTTTTTGTTTTGTTTTGTTTTTTAGTTGTAGTTGGACACAATACCTTTATTTTATTTTTATGTGGTGCTGAGGATCAAATCCAGTGCATTGCACGTGCTAGGCAAGTGCTCTACAGCTGAGCCACAACCCCAACCCCAACTCCTCTGCTTTGACCAGGTTATTCCCGCTAACCAGAAAATTTCTTCTGAAGTCTATCAAAAGTCAGCTTCTTTACCTTCCCTGTTCAAGATCTGCATGCCTGCCCCTATGGATCCTGAGCTTTAATGAAAGCATTTATCATAGGCTACTCTAATTGCTTATTTACATGAATTGCCAGTTGGATGAAGTGTTTCACGTGTATCTTCGTCTCCCACATTATCCAACCTAGCTCTTGGATCATACTGTATCTTCCAAAAAGGTTTAAATGAGTTAAGATGATCAGTTCATGTTTTTCCTCCTGGCTCCATTTCTCTCTTCACAAGCCATAATCAGATTCTTACTTTCTCCAGGGTACTGTTAGCTTTCATAAGAAAGGTAAAGCTAAAGAAAATATGGACTTAAAACCTAGGAAAAAGATATGTACACAAATAACCACAATGAGAGACTATGACAACTGTCATCTTCACCCAGTTACAAGCGAACTCCAGGACAGTCTGGAGAAGGCAAAGGTCATTCCAGCTTCATGGAGGAGGTGGCTTCTGAACTACAATTTGGAAGATAAACAGGATTCCAGTACATAAATATGAGACAGACCTTGGACACAAAGATGAAAGGGTGTGCGACATGTTCAGGGCGCGAGTAGTAGTCCAGTATGGCTCCAGAGTAATGTTAACAGGATTAAAATGATAAAGAAGTAGTGGATTTCAGAGAACTCGGGAAAGCTCAAGAATTCAATTTTTCCCCCAGATTAAACCCTTGGCCTTATTCAAGCTAGGCAAGCACTCTTAACACTGAGCTATATCCCCAGGTCACAGTTTGTTTTGATTTTCTTCAAGGAGAAAATAAAATCTTAAGGACATTCAGTGCCTCTGTCACGCTTAACACCATCTTTCCTTTCTGCTTCTTCTGGTGCAAGGGTACCTATTAGCCACCTGTCTGACCCTCTCCCTTTCTGTCTCGCCCCCACCCTCCAATTCTTTCTCCCACTTGTCTGCAGTACATGGCTTCTGGAGTTGGAGTACTTCAAGAACCTCTTGACAGATTTCTTTGGGGAATGAACACAAGTTTTTATAACTACGTTTTTAAAAACCTCTCATTTCCTTGTTACAAGAGATCAGAAAAAAACAACAAAAACACTGAAGGTGACGTCACTATAAGAAGAGTTCACAGGCAGGGTAAAAACATCATTTCTCCCTTTAATCATCCCTTTGTGCCTGGTGAACCCATAACTCACCCCACATGCAGTAAAACACTGGCGTTCCGCATACCAGAGCCTCCTTGTAATATGGTGGGAGGGTAAAGTTTCAGACTCTTATCTCCTGCCCTCAATCATAGTTTCACTTTTCTAATCTCATAAGACTATTTTCCAAAAACAGGCAGCATGCAATTTCTTACCTGGTAATCTCCTGCTGTAGCTGTAAAACTGAAGGCACATAAAACACCACTCCAAAATAGACAGTAGGTTCCAATGCATATTTATCCAGTTGCTTCTTCAAAGGTTTCTCCAAATCTACCCATCGGCGCTGATTTTGCTTGTTGTAGTACCAGAGGCTGAAATAAGTGACCTGGAAAGACAGAAGGTCACTGAAGGAGGCAGTAACACACAAAAAGATTCCAATGACTTCCACTGTACCAGTCTATGACCTGGGACCAAGTGGCAGCAGTCTCCTATTGCCTCTCTCCTCAGAAAGGGACAACAGCAAGACCTAATGGGATAAAAACCTATCTCTAGATACTTGTATTCAGGAATTGGTGGCAAGAGTCAATTGCAGATTGTTACTTCAACTCTGAAAAAAGGAAACACATTTATGGCTATGCATCAGCATGCAGTGGGTGCTATGTCATGTCACAAACAGGCTTTAAGGACAACAAAAATTACTAAAAAACATTATGCTTAGTGTTTTGATTACCAAACTATCAAATTTATCATAATTAATATTTTAAAAGAAGCATAACTGGGGTTCTACCCAGGAGAACACTGACAAAATAGGGTTAACCCAACTTTTCACTAGTCACAAATTTGGCTTCTGTAAACAAATTATATAAATTGAAATTTTAGCAATATAGAAAAGTTGCAACTGCCCCAAGATTAGATAGGAATTTAAAGGGACCATAATGCTTTAAACTAAAGTTTAATGTGGAAAACAAATTCTGAATTAATGAGCAAAATGTGAAAGTGAATTCTATCACACATAAACACACACATAGGAAAAGCTGTACCTAACACAATAAAATAACAAGTATTAGCATTTAGATTTCACTGATTGTGTAATGAAACTGTCAAGTTAAATCAGTAAATAGTAGCCCTGGGCCTGATCAACCTGAAAGCATACTAAGACACTTAAGAGTTGAATGGCAGCCTCAGACCACTGCTAGTGCTTACCTCAAAATCAATTTACAGATCAAAGCCATTGGGAAAAAAAAAATCACACCTTCACTGCTTAAAACTCCAGAGCAAGACTGTCAACTAGAACTTTGTGCAAAGGTGGACATGTACCGTACCTACACTATCCAATAAAGCAGCCAATACCCACAAGTGGCTACTTAGTACTTCAAACATGGTAAGACCTCTGAGGAACTATATTTTTAGCGTTATTTAATTTTACTTTGCTAGAGTTAAATAGCTGCTATCATACTAGATAGTACAGCTCTAGAGCAACAAGAAAACCTAGAAATAATACTCAGGTTATTTCTCTGATCTGTAATCCTCATTCAAATAAAAAAATGAACTTTTGTACACGCCTGTAATCCCAGTGGCCTGTGAGGCTTAGGCAGAGGATACTAAGTTCAAAGCCAGCCTCAGCAATTTAGTGAGACCCTGTCTCAAAATAAAAAATAAAAAGGGCTGAGGATGTGGCTCAGTGGTTAAGTGCCTCTGGGTGCAATCCCTGGTACCAAAAAAAAAAAAAAAATTTTTTTTTATTTTGCTGGGGGAAAGATTATACAAACATACCCTTAATATTTATTTCTTCTTAAAATGTCCTACAAAGGAATTATCTTTTCTATCAGTCTATCAAATAAATTCTACAAGAAAGAGGAATATGAACATTGTCCCTTTACACAAACACACTCCTAGAATACCGCAGGAATACAGTAAATTTGGTTTAATTATAAAAAAATGAATATTCTCTTGCTTCTTGGTTGCCACCTCAGGTATCACATATGAATAGAATATCTTGAACATTACAATGCATTAGGTTTTCTTCCATGAACTGTAGAGATACTGTAAATCAAATCACTGCCACTAACTTTCAAGTGGAAACTTCAATCTGTTAAACTCCAAAACCAGTATTATCTCCAAGTATTTTCCCTCAACCACCAAAAAGCTACTAAATTCCCAGGTAATTCTTTTTTTTTTCTTTAGAGAGAGAATTTTAATATTTATTTTTTAGTTTTCGGCAGACATAACATCTTTATTTGTAGGTGCTGCTGAGGATCGAACCCGGGCCGTACACATGCCAGGCAAGCGCGCTACCACTTGAGCCACATCCCCAGCCCTCCCAGGTAATTCTTGCACAATTAGTTTGAAAAGCACTGCACTGTACATCACAGTCTTCAGCATTATGCAGGAGAAACTCATGCAAATGATACCCTATGCTCGAAAAGCTGCACGGAAATCACATTACCATAACCAAAAGTACAAGTCCTACTAATCATTTTCCAAGGTTGTGATTATGATTATAAATGATCACGTTATTTGTACGGATAGAATATGTATCCCATTAATAGAAACAAGTACTGTTCCTTCTATGAGGAAAATGTGCTCATGAGAAAAGGCTTGATGCTCAAAAGTTCAAAGTTCTGGGTTTAATTTCCAGTAGGCACTGGCTAGCTATGAATTGGAAAAGTCCATCAGTCCAATTCAGTTTTCATACATAAAACAAGGTGATACCTCTCTCAGAACTCCATCATGAAGACTAGGTGGCAAAAAATACATGAATACATTTTGCTATAGAAAACTAATATATTTTTAAGAAATTATTTAGTTTCACTCATTTGGCCAAATACCTACAAAATCAATCGACTCCTCCCTCCCAAACTTTCCTAACTGTACTTATGTATTGTACGGGGTTTTATTTGATTGGTTTTTTCAGTACTAGCGATTGAGCCCACAGGTGCTTAACTGGGCCACATTTCCTGGCCTTTTTATGTTTTATTCTGAGACAAGGTCTCCCTAAATTGCTTAGGGTCTCACTAATTGGCTTCCAAGTAGCTGGGATTATAGGTATTCACCACCATGCCTCACCATATGTTTTGTGTTCCATCTTAGCACTTAAGTTTTGGACTGAACTTACCATAGTAGGTCAATAATGCATAACACTGTTATGCACTTAATTCCACAAACATTTATTTTTTTCCATAAACACAAAGGCCTTGACAATAGGCCCAGGATAAGAATCCCATAGGATCAAAAATTGTTTGGGCTCAGCGCGGTGCTGTGCGCCTATAATCAAAGTGGCTCAGGAGGGTGAGGCAGGAGAACTGGGAGTTCAAAGCTAGCTTCAGTGAAAGCGAGGCGCTAAGCAACTTAGTGAGACTCTGTGACTCTAAATAAAACACTAAATAGGGCTGGGGATGTGGCTCAGTGGTCAAGTGCCCCAGAGTTCAATCCCCAGTACTCAACTCTAGAAAAAAAAAAAAAAACTGCTTTGGTCATATTAGAATGTCATCGCTTTTATTCAAAATTAAAAGGTCTTCAACAGAGGTCTGTGGCTCAGCAGTAGAGCACTTGCCTAGCATGTGCGAAATGCTAGGTTTGATCCTCAGCACCACATAAAAATAAATAAATAAAATAAAGATATTTTTTAAAAAGATCTTAAACATACTTTGTATAATTACTTTTCCTTTTAATACAGTTGGACATGGTTCAAATAAAAAACATTTTAAGAGGATTATAAAACTATACATTTATTGTGTAATTTGTGGTTGTGTCATTCATGAACAGAGTGTAACCACCAAAAAATATCTACTTAATAATCTGTAACATTCTAAACTAAGGTATGTTTTAAAAGAAAAACTCTTAAAATGTGCTTAGTTTACTTTAGGAATACATCAATTACTCATGCAACAGATGGATAGAAAATCAAATTCACAGATATATTTGTGAAATTGCATCATTAGTTCTTCACAAACTTTACATTTTAGAAAGAAGTAGCAATGACTTTAATTGTGCCATTAAAAAGAATGGTGGGGTTAGCCAATTATTTCTTGATAAGCGATTTTAAATATGAGAGTCTAAGATTTGGGACATTTGAACATTCAACCATTTTATACTGCAGTAAAGTATTTTCTGAGGCACTTGCCCTTTTGTTCAAGTTCTATCTCAAAAAGAAGTTAATGCCAGACATGGTGGTACACACCTATAATCCCAACAACTGAGGAGGCTGAGGCAAGAAGATCACAAGTTCAAGGCCAGCCTTAAGCAGGCCCTAAGCAACTTACTGAGACCCTGTCTCAAAATAAAAAGAGCACGGGATGTGGCACAGTAGTTAAGCATCCTTGGGTTCAATTCCTGATACCAAAAAAAAAAAGTTAATTTGGGTTGGAAGTATTCTTCAGTGGGAGAATGCTTCCTCATCTAGGACGTGCAAGGCCCTTGGGCTCAGTCCCTACCATCTCACACCACACACACGTCATTGTTAGCCAAAATCAAATTCATATCTTGTTAAATACTTCCATATTTTTAAAGTCACTACTAGAAATGTTTATACACAGGTAACAAAATCTCACATTATAGTCTTTGAATTCAATACTTTCTTAGATTTCTATACATACTTAATCAAGTAGCAATATCTGATTCCATGAGATTTTATGACTGAGGCATCATTTGTTTTTGGGATGAGTAGGCAGAGTCTGAATGTAAAATACTGTGGTTAAATTCTCATCAGGCAGCCTGGCACAGTGGCACACACCTATAATCCCAATGGCTCAGGAGGCTGAGGTAGGAGGATTGCAAGTTCAAAGCCAGCCTCAGCAACTTAGCAAGGCCCCAAGCAGCCCAGTGAGACTCTGTCTCAAAATAACATAAAAAGGTTGTGGATGTGGCTCAGTGGTTAAGCACCCCTGGGTTCAATCCCCATACCAAAAAAAAAAAAAATTCTAACCAGGCAAATAGTTTTCTGACATGTCCTTTTTTGTTTATTTTTATGTGGTGCTGAGGATTGAACCCAGGGCCTCAAACATGCTAGGCAAGTGCTCTACCACTGAGCCACAACCCCAGCCCAGAAAAGAATTTCTTAATATTATGAAGGGCATTTATGAAATTCCAGAGTTAACATTATACTCAATGGTGAAAGACCAAAAGCTTTTCCCAAGGTCAGGTACAAGACAAGGATCCAATGTTCATTACTGTTATTCAACACTGTACTGGAAATTGTTGCCAGAGCAATTAAGCAAGTAATAAAAGGCACCCAAACTGAAAAGGAGGTAAAATTATCTCCATATACAAGTGCACAGGTAGAAAATCTCTGTCTTGGGCTGGGGATGTGGCTCAAGTGGTAGCGCGATGGCCTGGCATGCTCGACGCACTGGGTTTGATCCTCAGCACCACATAAAGATAGATAAA